TGATATCCCTGCAGCTCAGAGTGGCTGGCAGGTGCGAGGAAATGAGGGGCCAGTGGCCAGACCCTCCTCCGGGCTGTGGGCTGGGTGAGAGTGCTTCCACTGGAGTTTCACATTTCTGGTCCTGAGGGTTTGCTCCGTGACCACGGATTTTCTTGCTGGTCTGAGAGGCAGCAGTCTCTCTGGCATTGCCTGTCCATGGCCGAGGAGAGGAGGGGCAGAGGCCAACCACCTTCGCTTTTTGGGGTCTTGTATAGCTCTCCTAGGGCAATGACACATTGATCCTGGGGCTGCTTGGGTCAGCTGGTGGCAGGTACTGTGTTGCATGCACCGGAGTATAGCCCTCTCTCATCACATCACCCATTCAGGGAGATGGCCGCAGGCGCCTACTCCTGGTGGATACAGGGAATGGTAGGAGTCCATGCTGAGAGCCAGTTAGTCCTGTGAGGCCCTGTCGCACGTCGACCTCATAACTAATGATCCCCGAGCAGATCCTGCTCTCCAAGATGCTCTGTGTTCCTCTTCCTGACACACTCATTTAATTTTTAACTCACAAGGCATTTGCTTATTTATTTTCATTGTTCTTGATAATAATTCTAAGCCATTAGAGGGGAAAATTATATTCAAAAATGCTGTTTCACACTTTATTTGTTTGATGATTTAGAGCGATAGAAAGTAGCACATTTGCTGGCTTTTATAGTCTGATAATTATTCACATCCATCAAGTCATTCCAGGGGAATAAACAAAACACCGAGAAAATGACACTATTAATAGCATCCTCCTTGGCGGACAGGAGACTCCCCGGCGTGTTGGTGAAATGAGGATGCCTGTCCCCTGGCTGAGGCGAGCAGCCCTGCCCACAGAGGACACATTTCCTTGTACTCACCTGGCTCCGTTAGAGCCACCTGGCCAGCCTGCGGAGGCCTCCCAGCACCCAATGTCACAAGCCCTGGGATTTCTTTATTGGTCCTCTGGAGTCTGCCATGACCTGCCTAGCAGAAGCCCTAAGGCCTAGGGCCTCGAGGTGTCCCAAGCCACTGGTCTGGAGGAGGGCCTGGCCTCAGCAGGGCCTGGTGAGAGGTCTTATCCTCTGGCCTCAATGGTAAGCCAGGAACATTGGGCCAAATGAAGCTTCTCTCCAGTGTCCAGTCTTTCTGATATGTTCCTGAACCTCAGGTCAGATTCTCAAACATGTTGGTGAGTCTATTTGTTGTTTCTTAACTATCATATAGCTTTTGGGGGGGCCTTGGGTCCCCATGGCGACCTGGTTTCTGGGCTTCTATATCTCCTGTTGTATCCCATGAGCTTTATTCCTAGTCTAAAAACATGTTATTTCCTCACTGAAGCCCCTGCTATTTGCAGACAACTGCCTTTCTGACAACAGCTTCTGGCAAATGACGCCCGATTTGTCTCCCTTGGCCTCTTCTGTGCTTCCACGACATTAAAGCAGGGTTATGGAGCCTGTCAAGTCCTGCTGCAGCCCCTGCAGGGTTACCTGACTGGTTGCCAGGATACCATTCCGACCGTGCAGCCAAAGATATGAACCAAATTTTCTGTGACATTCTGGTTTAGAGTCATCTAGATGTACTTTGTGTCAAAAAAAAAAAAAAAAAAAAAAAAAAAAACCCACAAAAAACCAAAACACCTTCAAAAGCAGAAAGTAGGGAGGGGTTTTAAAATATGGAGATAAAGACACAGGTGGATGGAGGATAGCTCTGGAGGAAGTTTCGGAAGGGCAATTCTGGCTTGGTAACCTCAGGTCTGGGACTTGCCTTGTGTCCAAAGTGGTGGCAAACATGTCCTCTAGAAGGTGCCTGCTCTGACTGCCCTCAGCCTCTGTCTTAGAGCCAGGCTCCCACAGGCAGGGCTGGGGACTGTGGCCGGAGAGCCCTGGGTGACTGCACAGGTAGCCTGAACCACCTCCTATTTCTGCCTCTACCTCCAAAGCCCCTGCTCTCATCTCCCTTGCACTCTGCCCTGTTCCTTTCTCCTCACATCTCCAGATTGTGCCAGCATGACTGTGCTGGGTGCAGTCTCTCCATGCCCTCCCACTGGCCTAGGAAGTTGACTTCCCAGGAGGGTCCACTAGATGCTACTTGTCGGGAAGGGGAAGCAGGTTGACTGAAGCACGTGGCCAGCTCTTGAGGACGCTTGAGGGCCCATGTGTATCAGGGCATGGGGGGTACCAGCCTCACTGGAGAGGCTGGAGAAGAACGTTTATGCTGGTGGAGAGTAGGCTTGGGGAGCCAGGAGAGGTTCTGAGCAGCATTGGGGCTGAGCTGGAAGAGGGAGAGAGACTGGAGACTTCATGTTAGCCCAGTTAGCTGAGACAAACAGGTAGTCAGAACAGATCTCCCATGGTTCTGCCCAAGGAACCCTCTGCCACACAGGTGACCAGGGCTGTCACATATAAAGAGAGGCTGCCTGGGGTTGCAGGCTGGCAAAACTGATTATTTTGGCCCTGAGATGTGACCTTCTGATGGGGATAGATCTCTTGGGAAGTAAGACAGACTGCCCCCATGTTGGTGACCAATATACTGACTCTTTTATGGCTCCGAGAACTCACTCACTAATGTCCTGACAGATGCTCCCTGCCTTGAGGGTTAGCGAACACACTCACTCAGCTCCAATAACTGTTTCTCCTTCTTTCCCTTTTTTTTTCTTCCTGAGCCAAACCTGAGAGCCTGATCTGGTGGCACGACACTGGATGGGACTGTGACAAGGATGCTGTGCACAGGGCTTCTTGGGGGCCTGAGGTGGGGACCCCCCCACAAGGCTCTGCTCTGGGATCCCCACAGGGTCCTGGGTGCTTCTCTCCAGTGGCAAATGTCAGTCCCTGTTGGAAGGCAGCTCTGTGACTGGTTCACTAGACCCCTATGTCATTGGGCTCATCGGGGCACCCAAAAGGTCAAACCTGGTGGGAGAGGGCCCAGGGGGAACTGTGGCCCACAGTTCCGGAGTTTATTCCAGCCATTGGAAACTCGGTCGTGGTCCAGTGGCTATGGAGTCTACTTTCCCCCTCCCGCTCTTCCTTGGACTGGCTCATCTTCAGTGTTCCGTGTTGTTAAGGACCCGTGCCCCAGTTGTACCTGCCTTCCTCGGAAACTGAGGTTTTCATCTTGCCATGTCCCTGGGGCTTGGCATGTCATTGGCAATGGGGCTTCTTGGCACCACCGAAGCTGCCACTGAATTGGTCCAAATGGTGGGGGGCACTCCTGGCTCTGGGACATTGGAGCCAGCAGGCCCCATGGCCCTGGCTTCCCTTCCGGAGTCTTTCTAATCTCCCCAGGGGCTGCTCTCCGGAGCGCTTAGCCTAGTGTCCTGCCGTCTGTACTTTCTGATAACAGAGGAGCCACGTTCCAATGTATTAAACTTTTAACATCCACCAGACTCAATTAATCTTATCTTTACAACTCCCAATTACAGGCGGTAATTAAGTGAAAGCAGCATTGTAGACTGGGGATACTGCATTAATCATCACAGCCTTGGTGCCACGAGTTAGTCCTTCCAGTCTGCTGGCGTCTTCCCAGAAGGGACAGAATGTTTATTTCCCCATTTGGCGGGGGGACAGTAATCCCACAAAGATGCTTCAGATTGGGGTTAACTTTGTGTAAGCGATAAAAGGCCATTTTAAAAAGAGTAACCTCATCTTTATACAGATGATGGAAAATTATCTGACAACAACAGAATTGAAGGTGCTGGGGCCATCTCCTCAAGGGCCCCAGAGTGCCCAGAAATTAATTATTTTTATCCTTTAGATTAGAGACAACACAGTTCTCACTTATCTTCTACCCCGCCCCTTTTATTTTATTAAAAAAGAATAATAGACCTCTCGGTTGGAATAGACTTAACCAGCTACAGCATCTGAGCAATCTTCCATGTTCCCTGTGGGTACCCATCTTTTGCCTGCACCATGAGGGAGGGAGGAGGGAGTGGCCAATGATGCATCTTCACATCTGACTCATTCTAGAATGTAAGATAGTGGCCTTTTTTATTCTGGAACAGGGTCTGTCCTCAGCACTATTTAGGGCCCTATCATTCTCTTTGGGGGGCAGTCCTGGGCACTGTGGGGGGTTGAGCAGCATCCCTGGCCCCCACCTACTGTATGCCAGGAGCACCTCTAGTCATGACAAGCATGGGGACATGGCCCAGTGTGCTTGGCAGTGGGGGGTGGAGGGAGAGGGGTGAGTCCAATTTTCCTAGAGTCCCTCCTAGATGGGACTTGAGTGTGCTCAGCGTTTTGTGTCATTAGAACTTGCAGTTCTGCCTGCATTTGTCCAGAAATTGAAGTTTTCATCTTACCAAGTCCCCTGACGTGGGCTGGGGCTGGCATGTCAGTTGGGTTGGGGCTTCTCAGCACCACTGTATCATCCACTACACCCCCAACCCCAACCCCAGTCCAGGCCTCTTGTCCTGTCAACTTCCTCACAATAACATCAGTGGGGTGTTATTCTCCCTTCATTTGTTTGTATGCTTCCACCGCACATTTTTTTAAAATTTATTTATGATGGAGCCTCATACTCTTTCAAATGTAAAATGAGAAAAAATAAAGCTTATGAAGTGGGTGACAGGTGAAATTCTTCTCTTCCCTGAAGCTTCTTTCCACCTTGGCTCCTGGGCCTGGGAAGGCAGGCTGGCGACACAAGGCAGCCAGCGTCCCCACCCCTCCCGCTCCAGCCCAGTGCTTTTACTGTGTTTTTTGTTTTGTAAGCCTTATCGAGGTTTAGTGTCGCTTAACAGGGAATGTCTTCACTCCTGGCATTCAAGAGGGCTGTCACAACCCCCTGGGTCCCTGGTCTGTAGCCCTTCTGCCTCACCAACCCCTTCTGTGTGGAATTCCTCCTCTGACAGCACCACTCCCCTCAGCGCTGACCACAGCTGCGTCACATGACTGCTCTGTGCATGAGCTGTGTGTCTCTCCGAGGCCACGCAGGCTCCCTGGGGACTCTCAAGTGTGTGGTGGCCATATGAGCTCACTTCTGACATGCCTTCCTTCTTGTAGGTACGCCATCCCACCGGAGCATGGCAAGCGCCTGGAGCGGCTGGCAATTGGTAGGTGTCTGCGGCCAAGGGCTGGGGTCTGGGAGCTGGACAGGGTGAGGAGGGGCAGGTGGGGTAGGGAAGCAGTTTTGCTGTGTGTCTGGTTTTCAATTCTTGGGAGTTGTAAGATGTCACTGTCTTATTTTACCATTTTCTTGCACCCCTGTGATTAGGTCCGTGGTCCATCTGCTTGGGGGTTTGTCACTTCATGGATTCTGCACAGAATGCCATTGCTTTAAACGCCCTTGTTTTCCGGTTTCTTAGAATGTAGTTCTTGGCTGTGACCACAGGCTCCGAGGACCAGGGAGGACAGCTGTGTTCTGTCTCCTCTTCCCCCAACGCCTGGCACTGCATCTTACCCTTTTCTAAGTCTTCAAGTCTTTGTTCAGTCTGGAAAATGAGAAGTTAGTTAGGAGCACCCTCACCACAAGGTCCCTACCCTTTTGTGTGGGGTTCTGTCTCACCTGGGCTCCCTCATCAACTGTCCCTTCCAATAGCTACTGTCTTACCGTCTGTATTTGGATCCTTGCTGGGGCCTCATGGGGCCAATGGATTTGTCTCGGGGGGGTGTCCCAGGCCATGTCTGGAGAGGGGGCACCCTTCATAGCACCCTGCTTTCTGTCAAGAGCCAACGGGGTCTGGCCTTTGCTTGTCATCTGGAGAGCCAGTCCCTTCCTCAAAGGCAGCACTCAGGTCGGGGTGGGGTGATTGTTTGGAAGCCACTCCAACAGCACAGGGCCCATCTGATCATCCTGACCCTCCAGGTTGCAGTGACAAGCAGCCCAACCCTCCCAAAGCAGCCATAGAGCCTTCTGGAAGTCATTGCTCAACACTGGTGCAGGCGCTCTCACTGCGGCCACAGTCCTCCGGCCCCTCCTCAAACCTCACCAAAAATGCCCGTCACGCTTTATCCCTTCCCATTGATGTTTTGACTTGGAGATGGGAATGGTGGATCTTTGTGAAAAATAGGGACCCCTGTCCTAGCTGCACTCACAGCTGTGCGCCTGCTCAGCAAATACTACATCCAGTGACAGATTCTGAGAATGGAGGAAGGGGGAGTGGGTAGGTGCCTCCAGCCTCCCAGGTGGAGGGTGATGGTTTGTTTAACATTTTTGTTGGAGACCTGAACCCTGTCCTCATGGGAAGAGCTGCGCCCTGCTCTCCAGAACATGCTTTCATGGTAGAAATGCCACAGTTGCACACAGCCCTAGTCAAGGCCTATTTCACATATTATGCTCTAAAATAAAAATCAGATTTAAGATGTTTTCCCATTGCATTTTAAAAAATACTAGTAGAGCCAAAACCGGCTTGGCTCATTGGATAGATCATCGGCCTGCTGACTGGGAAGTCCCAGGCTCAATTCCGGTCAAGGGCATGTATCTTTCTCTCTCATTGATGTTTCTGGCTCTCTGTCCCTCTCCCTTCCTCTTAGTAAAAAATCAATAAAATATTTTAAAAATACTAGTAGACATTTCAAATACATTTTTTAAAAATCCTCACCTGAGGATACTAGTGTGGTTTTTTATTGATTTAGAGAGAGAGAGAGAGAGAGAGAGAGAGAAAGAGAAAGATCGATTTGAGAATGAAGCATGGAGATTTGTTGCCATTCATACATGCCCCAACTGGTGATTGAACCCACAACCTACATATGTGCCCTGACTGGAATTGACTTCCCAACCTTTTGGTTCGTGGTATAACTCTCCAAACAACTGAGCCACCGGCCAGGGCTAAAATACAAATTTTAATTTAAGAATATGTTATAAAATTATTTTCCCATTATATTAGTTTACTCTTGTGTTATAAAAAGTTATCACAAGAACAGTGACTTAAAACAATACAAATTCTCTCAATTTTCCTGTAAATCTTAAATTACTCTTTTAAAAGTTCCAATTAAAAACAAACAACCCCACAGATTCATTTCCTCAAAGTTCAAAATGAACCTTTTGAACCTAAAACCCAGGTGTGGGCAGGGCTGGTCCATCCTGAGTTTCCAGGGAGAATAATTTCCAGCTTTTTTAGCTTCTAGAGGTGCCGCATCCCAGGCTCGTGGCCCCTTCCTCCCTCTTCACAGCCAGCAGCTCAGCCTCTCCGTCTTCACTCTGACCCTCCTGAGCAGCGGTCACCGACCTTTCGGACCTCACAGACCATCAGTGGTCTGCGGACCACCGGTTGGCGACTGCTGCTCCTGAGAACCTCTTATGAGGACCCTGTGATGACATTGGCTCTCTGGGAAATCTAGAGTCATCCCTATCTCAGGGGCTTTAATTTAATCCTATCTGCAAAGTCTCTCTTGTCAGAAAGGGAACATATCACAGGTTTGGGGATTGGGACACAGGCATCGTGGGAGCCACTGTTCAGCCTGCCACACCTACCGAGCTATAGGAGAAAACATCCCCGGGCAGTCAGCATGGACATGCCTGGTGAACACAAGGCTGACATCACCTGACCTCGCCAATAACTTCTCTAAAGTTCAACCGTGAGCCACGCCTGGACTGTTGTCGTTCAATGTGCCTTTTCTATTAGAAAAGTTTTAGATGATCTGAGTGCAAGCTAGAGAACCTAGGTACGCTCTGGGGCACCTGCCTAAACTGATGGTGCTTTCCCTGAAACTTCCTGCGCCAGGCCTACAACCAGGGCCTTGCTGTCCATGTAGTTTCTGGCCCTTGAGGTTGGGGTGGGGGCGGGAGGTCCTGTATAGATGGTAGGAAGTTTATTGGCTGGGGCTGGAAGAGGAAGAGTGAGCAAGCGCTGAGGTCTACGGGAGGCCACCTATCCCTGCTTTTTGAAAAATAGGGACTCATTAAAACTCCTCGGCAGGGTGGCTGGAATTTGAGAAACTGGGCCTTCGGCACTGGAGGAGGGTCCGAAAGCTGTGGCGAGGCCTTCCTCCATGGCCCCTCACTCAGGCCTGCTCTCCCCTCCCCTGAGAAAGGACAGGGAGTTCCAGGGCACTGCCCCCTTCGGTGCCTCTTTCAAAGTTTGTTGGGGGCAGCATCTCCGACTCCATTGTTGAGATGGGTGGAATGAGTTTGTGATTAATATGGAAAATGAATAGCTGCACTCCAAATGGGCTCACTGGGAGAGTTGTGGAGCCCACAGAGCATTAATGTGTTGGCACATTATTGGTGCTAATCACTTAAAATGTGCGCCTTTATTAGAGCTTTAATGAGAGCCACTTAAACTGTGCATTAAAAAGAGGAACTGCAGAGAGGCCGGCGGGCCAGGCGGCAGGCAGCCATAACTCTAATTGAAATGCTTTTAGTGCAGAGGAAAGTTGCAGGATTCAATAATCCTTTGCACTTTCCAGAACCTTGCCATTGTGTCCTTTCAGCCGGGCGCCATCTGCCAGCATGGAAAGTATCAAAGCCCCTTCTCCCCAAGACAGTGTGTGCATGTGCTTGCACACACATGTGCACATCCAAATGCGAATGTGTCCTCTCTGACCAACGACATATCAAAAGTGGGTATCAAGGCCTGTGTCAGCTTCCAGAAGGGTCGTTGGGCTGGCTGTGCCACAGGGTCAGTCCTGGAGGGCAGTGGATGCTCCACACTGAATCCTCATGGCAGCCCTTCTTTGCCACCTCTTGGTGAAGGTTCGCGATGAGGAGACCAGCTGCCTTCAGGTGGAATTGCAGACCTTCAAGTGGAATTCCAGAACTTGCTTTCCTTTAACTGCAGGATGCAGCTGTCACTGATTTAAGATTCAGCCATCTGCCGAAGCCGCTTTGGCTCAGTGGTAGAGCGTCGGTCTGCGGACTGAAAGGTCCCGGGTTCGATTCCGGTCAAGGGCATGTACATTGGTTGTGGGCACATCCCTAGTAGGGGATGTGCAAGAGGCAGCTGGTCGATGTTTCTCTCTCATCGACATTTCTAGCTCTCTATTTCTCTCCCTTCCTTTCTGTAAAAAATCAATAAAATATATTAAAAAAAAAAAAAAAAAAAAGATTCAGCCTGTAAGTGGTTTGGATGTGTCCCTGAGCTGTGTTAGTTAAACACGGTTTCTGAGCAGGTAGAGCTGATGGCCGAGTTCCACATGTTTATAAATATTACCTTAGGCTAGTTACACGGTGTATATATTTAGTCTTGGACAAAAACCATGCCCAAATGCAAACTTTGTAACAGGGTTAGGGACCTGGTTGTGGACGCAGCCAAGATGGGGCTGCTCTGCCATTTCTCCACAGGACTATAGGCCTTGGGCAGATTACTTGACGGCCTGAGCCTTTGTTTCCTTACTTGCCCAGTGGCTGTGAGTGCAAAGAGCCAAGAGCAGAGCCTGGGCCACTCTTTATTGCAGACTCGGTCGTGGTATATGTGTGGAGAGCACCACTCACTTCTCACTTATCACAGCTTGTCTGGTCTAGAACTTCAGCTTTCTTTTGGGCTGTGTTCTCACGTGGCTAAATCACCATTTGGATGCAACACAGTTGGTCTTTGGAAGGATTTGGAGAAGAAGTGTTTGTGCAGCTATACCACGTCCCATGCCCCATCTATGGCAGGTGTGCGCCCTGTCACACAGACAGCCTGGCTTGCCCTCTGTTCCAGGTTCACCAAATGAAGCCAGGGAGTGTCACCATTGCGGTCACCAGCAGAGCTCATGGGTGTATAATGGTCCATGTGGTTGATACACTTGGCTCTGCAGGCACCCTGCTCTGTGCTCTGACAGGAGGGAAGAGCTGCCTAGAAAGAGCTGTCCTGGCCCAGCCCCCACTCTGGTCCTTAAGCTGATGCCCGTCTTTTTCACTCCAGGGTTCTTCCCCGGGAGCTCCCAGGGCTGTGACGCCTTCCTTCGGCACAAGATGACCCTCATCTCGCCCATCATCCTCAAGAAGTACGGGATCCCATTCAGCCGGGTACGTAGGGGCTGCTCCAGGAGGGGTAATCACAGACACCCAAGGAAACTGGCTTTTTAACCCTTAAGAAAGTTCTAGAACAAGGGCCACCAGGGAAGGAGGACCCTGTGGGAGCCTGGCTTCTGAAGGTTTCCTCAGAGGAACGATTTGTCAAGTATGGTGGCAAGTTCTGTGATCAGACCTTCGTGCCTCACTCTCACCCGAGTGTCAGTCAGCCAGTGGGAAATTGCTTCTATTTCAGTCTAATTGCTGGCAGCTTTAGTGCTCGGATCTGGGCTTCGTTCTTTCTGTTGGAGCCACAACCAGGAAGCGACTTGCAGCCACTGCTTGTTCATCAGGTTGCAGGGTATTTTGCTTTGAGAAATAACAGGTTCACAGTTTTCTCTTCTCTCTGTTTTCGGTCAGAACACTCTTTGTTACCAGGAGCCTCATGAACAGATCACAGCATCGCTCATGGAAGTGAGAAGTACTTGCTCCCCTGTGGTTTGTTAAGAACATTCTCCAAAGCGGTGCTTCCTGGTCAGGGATGCAGGAGTTGGCTGGCAGGGCTCCCTTTTCCCTCTGAGGCCAGCAGGGCGAGGGCCCTTGTCTCTGGGCTCCGATGGGTGCCCGCCAGGGTGCAATGTGGATCCCTGTTCTGAGTTCCTGGCAGTCTTCAAAGGAGTGACTTCCACACTCCACTTATAAATCTCTGTAATGGTATTTACCTCTGGAAGAAAGCACAGATCAATAGCAAGCTTTTTAATAATTAAAAGTGTGTGTTTCTGGAATCTGTCATTGACGTCCTCATTTATTCTGTGCCAGCTTGCACAAGAAACCAAATTCCGAGTTTTCCTCATGACTGGCGTTTGGGACTGGCACTGCTTATTACTTTGCCACCCTGCCTGTCCATCATCCCCAGTGCCTTCTAACTTACTGTCGGGATCATGTTGATGGCAGTGACACAGAGGACAGACACTGTGGGCTTGAAATGAAGCCACTGGGGCATAGATTTCTGACAGGAACATAATTTTCCTGTCCTCCTGAGTGTGTTTTCTGTTCTAGGCCCTGATTCATGGGGGGGGGGGGGGGTGGGAGGGGGTCAGGCCCCAAAGTCTGCCTGAGCCTGGAGTGGAGGTGCCTCTCCCACACCTGGGTTGTTGAGCTTAGCATCTCCAGAAGGCTCTGTGCCATGCCCTGGTGGAGAGAAGGGGAGTGTGCAAGTTGGCGGTGGAGGAAAAGTGAGACAGCGCTTTCCAGGGTCAGCTTAAATAAAATAAGAAAATTAGCAATTGCATTTAAAAAAAAAAAAAAAAAAAAGCTCTAAATCCTGCTGCAGAAGCAGCCCAGAGAACCCTGCTGTGGATGGCGTAGCTAGGACCTTGGGGACCCATGAGTGTTCTCTCCCCCCGTCCCCTGCTTCATGCTTCATTCCCTGCTCTGGCTGTCACTTGGACAGGAATTTAAAAATATAACTTAATGCACACTGACTTTCGTTGATTGGTGCAATTTATTATTTGAAAAGAAAAATATCTTAGTGTTCTGAAGGGCTGGATTTTCTCCAGGCTGTGTCAGTTTTGATTGATTTTTGACTCTGTGGTTGGCTTCTGGAAGTCTTATCCCCCCTTCCTGCTGCCCATTCTCCCCCCACCAGGGTTTGATATCTCACTGGTACTTAAATGAATCCAGTGATTTCTGCTCATCTCTCTGGAGGAATAAGTAAAGATCAGCAGGCCTGAGAACGCCGACAAATCAACAATAAAAAGATGAACCATGAGATAAATAGAGAGGGGTGAAAGGCTTGAACAGATTTTGCAGAAGTTTGCACAAACGGAGATCCCACTGCACATGTCCAAATGCTAAGAGGGGAGCACAAAGAACTCGAACCACCACTGGGGCTGCAAATGGGCAGCCACTGTAGAAAAACAGCAGTTTCTTGGAGATGTGGCCGTGCACCTGACTTGAGACCCTGAACCTCCCTCCTGTTCCCCCCCCCCCCCCCCCCCCCCCCCCCGCTCTTCTGGTCTGTTTACTCAAAAGAAATGCAAACACATGCTGCAAGGAGACTGGCCCAGCAACTCTATTCACCAGAGTCCCAAAGTCTGTACACAGGAGAATGGGTAATAGTGACACATCTCCACGACAGAACTCCCTTTAGAAGACTCGTGTGCACATGCACTGAATGAGTCTCGAAGAGCAAAGAGGCCAGACGCAGGAGTACAGACTGTCTGGTTCTATTTTTACCCTAGAGAGAAACATAATCCATGGTGGCAGAAAGCACATGGTGTGAATGTACTGAGGTCCTTCAGTTCCCACGGTACCAGAAATGGTCTCTTTCTTTTGGGGTGGTGGATACTTAGACTCTGCACAACCTGTGGTCTTGAACTCCCCGGCCTCCTAATGACTATATAAATCAAGGAATAGATAGGCCCGACTTCAGAGAGTTTTTCCCAGGCCACCAGCCTCAGCTTCACAACTATGGATTAGGTCAGCAGCCCGACTTCTAAAGAGTGGTCATAGTGGTCAGTGTGGTCATCCACTCCCTGGATGGGAGTTGAGGTTGCAGGTGTGCGCGCGCGCCCCCCCCCCCCCCCCATTTTCTTCGGGGCTTTCAGGTGGTGGTTTCAGAAGCATCAATCTAGGGGTATTGTAAGTTCCATCCTGTCAGTCATGCCAAGTCCTGATTTTAGAATCTCTGTTTCAGCGTCTGGTTGTCCAGACTATTTGAATAGATTGAGAAATATCAGCTCTCTCTTCAGAGCTCTGACCTTGACATTGTTTTCTTCCACATGCTGATGTGTTTTGTTGGTCTCTTTGACATCATCTAGAAGGACCCACCTCTTGGAATAAAAAGGACAGATTCTGTGCTTATGATGGTGAGGGGACTTATGTCATTTTAGGGAAAGGACCAGGTACTGCGTGTACACCTGTCCTGTGCTCAGAGGTTTTGCAGCTGCCATCAGTGCCGTCTGCCCCCAATGTATGGGAATGTCTCACAGTGGACAGGAAGTGTGACATGGCCACCTCCCTCCAAAACTGGAGACCCCCTCTTCAACAAAAGGGAGAAGTGCCTAGAAAGGTAGCATCTAGCAGTCCCTCTGTAACTGCAGTTCACCCCTCTGCAGAGTGCTAACTGTGTCTGTCACCTTGGAGCCTCAGCTGGGCTATGGTGAGCAGGGGCTGGTAGTGAGCCATTGACCTGGCCACTGTCATCTCTACTTTATCAGCCCCATGGAAATGAGCTGGAGCCTGTGAAATTAGATAGAGCCACCTTTCACTTGGTAAACTCCATTGACTCCCAAAGTCAGGCTCTCTGGCACTTTTGGGGAACTCCTGGAGCCCATGTCCTCCTCTGTGGCCTTTGTCACCAGCTTGTCCCTGCTCCAGTCCAGGCGTTGCTTCTGACAGGTGAGCCATGCATGAAATCCTCTTCCCTTTAATTCTGGTCCTTACCCTTATCTGTTGGACTCTTTTTTCCTCAGATCACGCAGGAGGCCGGGGAGTTCATGATCACATTTCCTTATGGCTACCATGCTGGCTTCAACCACGGATTCAATTGTGCTGAGTCGACCAATTTTGCCACCCTGCGGTGGATTGATTATGGCAAGGTGGCCACTCAGGTAAGTGCCCTCAGATGCCATGGAAGACTAAACAGGGGCCCAGTCCCTTCCAGCCACCTCTTTGGGGCCTAGGTCTATGCACCGGTTGGCTGGGAGCCTAACTGTTCCATCAGGGTCTGTTTCTGAGATCACAGTGAACTTGTTCCCAGAACATTTGTCACCTGGAGAAATGGGGACAAGGCATGAGTGGGATGGGTGGACATGCGGCAAATAGGGTCTGGGCAAGCCTAGAGTTGGGGGCCCCTGTCTCCTGGCAGACCCCACACCCTCTGGGCCTTAGGGCTGCCTATTGCATTGCTGCCCCTGGAGGATATTGAAAGGTGAGACTTCTTTGATTCCCCCCAGTAATTTGCCATTCTGTGTCTCTAAGCGTGGATTATTAGCTAAAAACTGTGACATCTGAACTGAGTGCTTGTTCTCAGATTCCCTCAGCTCTGAGTGCTTCTGTCTTTGTGGTTTTGATTGATAGCATGGAAGGTGCTATGACAAGTCCATGGGTTTGCTGGATGTGAGGCTGGGTCATGTCTGCCTCATCTCCTTCCTCTTGCTTCTCTCCCATGGAGGTTTAAAGTGGCTTTGGAGATCCAGGTGACAGGATGCACACAGGGCTAATGAACTGCAGGCCTACCCAGTCGACTGGGGATGAAGGGAGAAGCAGGGAAGAGGACTTCCGGGCTGGCAGCAGGCCCAGCCCTTTCCCAGCTGGCCTTCCTGCCAGGACTGTTACTGCAGCCCTCAATGCCTGTCTCATCTGCCATAGAGGAAGACGGCATGCAGGCTTCTCCCATCAGGTTGGACTCAGGTTTATCTTCCCCAGCTCATGGGCGTCAGCCCCGCTGGCCCTCTCTCCATGGCAAAGGCAGGTCCAGCCACTTGTGGGTACCTCGCTCTGGCACTGGGGCGTATGGAACAGAAGCTCCTCCAGCTAGCCTTATACGGGATGAAAACGGGCATTTTCTGCCAGCCTTGCACATTGGAGCCCGGGGTTTCTCCGCACAGTCGCTTAGTTTTTCCTAGTCAGGCCCAGGATCAGGACAAATGGTGGGGTCAGTGTGGAGGAAGTGTACCTGGGCTCTAGACCCTGACTCATGTAGCGTTTTCTAGACCTCAGACCTTTGCAAAGAGGATCGAAGCAGTGATGTTCAGACCATGGTCAGTGGCCACACACGGGTGTGGTGTGGCCGCCTTGAGATATGGCCCATTTGCATGGAGATGAGCTATGAGTGTAACACATGTACAGTGTCTCACAAAGAACAGGAAATATCTCATCAAAAATCTCTCTATATATTGGTTATGTAGATTGATACTTTTGCATAGCTTAGTTAGGTTATACAAAATATATCATTAAAGTGAATGCCACCTGTTTCTTTTTACTCTTTGAATGTGGCAACCAGAAACATTGAGGTTACAAATATGGCCTGTGTCCTATGTCTATTGGGCAGTGCTGTTCTAAACAAACTGGCGAGCCTTTATTTTTCTAATTACCTGTTTCTCTAGCTTCCCTATTTCGGTGCAGTTTAGAGAAGGAAATGGGCTTTGTAGTAAGGAAGAGGGGGAGGTGCTCCCAGGGTTTGAAAGCATCTTGCTTTTTATACTTAATTCAGAAAATCATGACGGAATTGTCACAGGTGGGGACTCCGGGTGTCACTAAAAGAGGAGACATGTAATCGTCAGGATTTGCCTGTTTGATCTAAAGGAGTCACTATCTGGGGCGTGTGGTTTGGTTGTTTGAATTACATGGTAAGACTCAAGGAAGAGAGATAGAATCCTCAGGACCTACATGTGCCACAGAGGGAGCTGCGGTGGAACCAAGAGCCCGGGGCCAAGCTTTTCCTGGAGAGGCTATCAGAGCCGGTACTGAGCGGGGCCGGGGACTGCCTGGATATTAAAAGCTATTTTAGGTTCAGCCATGTGTTCACAAGCGACATTTGGGACGTACAGCCTTAGATTGGGCCTCCACGCTTACATTGCCAGGCGGCGTAGCGTGAAATTACTGAACAAGTGGCACTTGGTGCTCAGAGCAAGCCGGGGTTCAAGGTGAGCATTCAGGAGCCATGCGGGGCTCCCTTGAAGAGCTGGCCCAGCTGACCAGGCCCCTGCGGCAGGGAGGCAAGGGGTTCAGCCAGGAAATGACCATTGGCCACTGGGCATCTCTGCATGGCAGTCCTGGGTGCCACCTCTCAGTCTTTGGGGTGACAGTTCCTGACTCTTGCAAGCTCTCTGCCTCATGACTAGTCCAGGCTGCAGAGTCCACTGAAGTGCCTGGTCTTACTGATAAAAAGCTAAGGCATGTCAGAGGCAGGACTAGGGAGAGGCAGGGCAATCATTCAGGTGAGACGGCACACAGGGACCTGCGGGTCCTTAGCCAGATTTTAGGGAGCGGGAGGATCCCACAACTCCTTTTCCTGTAAGCCGGCCTGAGCTGCCCCGCTTCATCATGTTTTGGGCCAGTTCCTTCTAGAATCTTCATCAGAACATAACCCAGGGGAGAATTCCCACTTCCCAGATTTTAGGGACTGTTTTACGTGTTGGTTTGTTTCCTCCTCCTCCTCCTCCTCCTCCTCCTCCTCCTCCTCCTCCTCCTCTTCCTCCTCCTTCTTTTTTAATTTATTTATTATTTACTATTTATTTATTTTTAAACTTTTTTATTAAATTATTATCTGTGTACATATTTTAAAATTGCCCCCCCTCCCATATATACCTTCCCTCCCCAGAGTTTTGTGTCCATTGGTTGTACTTATATGCATGTATACAAGTCCTTCGGTTGATCTCTTATCTCCCCCAGATCTCCCTCCCCTCCCCGCTGTAATTTGACAGTCTGCTTGTTGCTTTACTGTCTCTATATCTATCTTTTGGTTCATCAGTTTATAATGTTCTTTATTATTCATAAATGAGTGAGGTCATGTGGTATTTCTCTTTCATTGACTGGCTTATTTCACTCAGCATGATGTTCTCCAGTTCCATCCAGGTTGCTGCAAATGATGAGAATTCCTTCTTTTTTTATGGCAGCATAGTATTCCATTGTGTAGATGTACCATAGTTTTTTGATCCAATCATCTGCTGACGGACACCTAGGCTGTTTCCAAATTCTAGCTTTTATAAATTGTGCTGCTATGAACATCGGGGTGCATATATCATTTCTGATTGGTGTTTCTAGTTTCTTGGGATATATTCCTAAGAGTGGGATTACTGGGTCAAATGGGAGTTCCATTTTCAGTTTTTTGAGGAAACTCCATACTGTTCTCCACAGTGGTTACACCAGTCTGCATTCCCATCAGCAGTGCACGAAGGTTCCTTTTTCTCTGCAACCTCGCCAACACTTGTTGTTTGTTGATTTGTTGATGTTGACCGTTCTGACAGGTGTGAGATGGTACCGTGTTGTTGTTTTGATTTGCATCTCTCTGTTACCTTCTTCTAGCTCCTGCCCTCTATTGTCCCTTTTCTGTGATTCTGCTTTGTGCCAACACATTAAAAGCCAGACTCTCACTCCTGGCCTGTATGAGTTTTAGGTATCTCCTTCCAGAGCAGAAATTGGTAGGCTGACTACTTTTGTATGGGTTGTAAATTGAGAATGATATTTACATTTTTAAAGAGTAGAGGGGAATTAAAAGAATATGCGACATGCAATTAGATGAAACTGAAATTTTACTTTCATAAATAAAGTTTTATGGGTGCCCACCCTCGCTCAGGTGTTGACCTGTTGTCTGTGGCTGCTTTCACCTGTAACGGTGGAGTTGAGTAGTTATAACAGAGACTGGCCTGCAAAGCTGAAAATATTTGCCACTTGGTGTGGGCCTATCCTGCCAGTTCTGGCTCCAGCCAGTTAGGGCTGAACCGTCACCGCCTGCACTCCCAGAGCTAAAATCACTGCCTTGGGAGGCTCCGGATGGGTCCGAGAGGGTGCCAGGAGTTGTGGCCATTCAGCAGAATGTGCCAAATGCTGATGCTACAGCTGCCACCTGCAGAGCATCACCCACCCGCCCTCCTGACTGCAGGGCAGAGAGGCTCCTCCGGCCCTCCTGGCCAGAAAGCCCCGGAGAAGAGCGCTTACAGCCTGTCACCAGAGGCCCTCCGAGGGAGCTCCTTTGGGTCCCGTTTGCAGCTGAAGGCTGCCTGGGGTGTGTTCTCTCTCCACCCTCTCCCTGCAGCACAAGCACAGAACACTGACTGGCTCTGTCCATTGTCTAGTTGAGACGGTGTTTCTCTTCCAGATGGTTTCCTTTCTGAGCCACTTTACTGCCATTCACCCTCATTACCCATCTGTGCATGGGAAGAAAATGCATGGCTGCCTGTATTGCCCAGCCTCCCTCTAATAGGTGTGTCCTATTGTGTCCCCACCTCAGGGTACTCAGGGCCTGTCCCTTTCACAGCCTGTGATCTTCGGACTACTTGAGCTTTTCTGTCTATAATATAAAAAGGGCACCCTTTCTTGGAGCTGTCTTAACATAAAATGGCAAAAGATATACAAGAGCACCGTGTGTGGGACTATGCCTTCATGGGTGTCCCCAGTGTCTCAGACTCTGGCTGTTGGTCCAGTCTAATGTCTCTCCTCATTACAGTGGATGAAGGCTATCCTAGACACTGTGTGTGTGTGTGTGTGTGTGTGTGTGTGTGTGTATGTGTATGTGTGGAGGGGTTGTGCAGTATCCCTGACCCCCACCCATGCCATGCCAGGAGCACCTCCAGTCATGACAACCACAGATGTGCCCAGACATGGCCCAGGGTCTCTTGGGGGCAGGATTAGCCCCTGTTGAGACCCCTGTCCAGCTGGCCTTCCAGGTTTCCTCTTTCTCTTTTCAGGCAGTGGGTAGTTGTCCAGCGGTATCTGTGGACTCTGACACTGGGGGACAAGCTGAGTGTAGTTTCTTTCCAGATTCCTGCTAAGGACATCTCCCAGAACCTCATGTTTGGGGCTCAGAGCCTCCTTTTTCTACTGAAAGTCATTTTCTCTCCTGTGTTCTGAAGCCATGGGGTTTGAGGTCTCTTAAACAGGACAGATA